AATTGAAATAAATGCACTTCAATAACTTGCTAAACATAGTTAGTTGCTATTATTTATATAAAAAACATCTGTCAACGTACACTCATGCTTTTCCTACCACTTGAGTCTCCCATGCACTAACCATGTCTCTATGAAATTTTTTGGATAAAATCCTATTTTAAAAAAGTCAACCCTATACTTGATATGCTGAACATAGACATCCACAACATCTCCTGCAGCAATTAATGGGTGCGGATACTTGCATAGTTCAGAAGCAATATATAACCAACATGGGGCCATCCAGTTCCATAGTCTGGATCAATTACTATTGCACTTGGGTCCCTTGGATTCAATGACTCTGGCCGTATCCTTACATTCCCTGGTTTATCTTGTTCATGAAGAGTGAGGTATGCCTTTTCCAAATGATGTTGGTAGTGGTTCTCATGAGCAGCACCGATGCACTTGAATGGTACAGCCTGGATGATTCTTCCTCCTCATCACTAAACTTGTCATCACTCTCTGCCCTATCACCTTCATCACCTCTTTCATTATCATATCCATCCTGAACAGGCTCAAGAATTTAGCCAACAACTCAAGTAAATCTCTTTCTACAAAATCATAACGAGAAAATTATTATTTCATGCACCGTCATCTCTAAAATTAGCAATCTTACACAAAAGCACATGTAACCTCTAAATTCTTAATATACCTAACTGTGTTAGGTCTGTGTATTAGAACAACACACAAACATAGCAATATTTAGATGAAAATTGAAAAATATTAAACTACAGTTTGCACATTTAAACAACCATCCACAACTAGATGTCTAGATACAAACAGGCATCATACTCAGCAAAAATTTATAAAATATATACAAATAACAATACCTTCAAACTCATCTGAAAACCAATGTCCATCATCAATAATTGTATTCGCTGTCAATATATGATCCACATCGATTAGCAAACTCATCAGGAATAGGGTCAAACTAAAGGGTTGAATTTAATATTTGAAATATTGCGCCATAATTTGTACAGTGTATTTATAAAATAACAGTACAATATTGAAAACAGCAAAGCGGAAATTTGAAACAAGTCAACTGTATTGCATTGTAGGATACCAACCTTAAATACTTGTTTTCACGTTGATGATATACGGAGTAAACGCCATCCAACTTAGAAAGAAGAGCCTTGCTAGTTATGTACGAGTCAAATCCAACCGCGATCAGGCCCCCCCCCGGGCAACCCCCAGGGAATTTGACTTTTGAAAAAATAATTGGTCAAATGCCCGCCCGAACAGGCAGAAACCACAGTCAAATGCCCTGCTATAGGGGTAGTCCTGTTTCTGATTATTATTCAAGATTAAAAAGAACGAAAAATAGGCCAGACAGTTCTTCTTTTTGTTCAACTGGGCATATTGTATCATATATATATGATTGATATTTGTGATTCAGAAGCAATTTTCAAACTATCGAAAAGACGCAAAATAGAAAACTCGTAAAGCGCTAGAATGAACACATATTTTTAGGGAAAACTGCTGAGCAAGTTGTTGTCAAGTAGTCAAATGCCCGGCCGGGCCGTCAAATTCCCGACCGGGCTGTCAAATTCCCGCCTATACAGGGGTAATGTTAAGTCAAATGCCATGGGGTTGCCCGGGGGGGGGGGCTGATCGCGGTTGGATTTGACTCGTACATTACTATTGGGAATAACACAATTCCTTCGCGGATTAATATTTATAAAGCTAAAAGACAAGCACGTCCCATGCAATTTAATATAAGGTAAACTTGGTATAGTAACTCACACGTCATAATGAGAATCGCAACAATACAGCAATAACATTCTATTTTCACGAAGTATTGCAGCCTTACAATCTTGTCTTTCGAATGCTTCCACATTTGTTTACTCAGAAAGATGTTCACTCCACGACAGTCAAAGAGTCATTGAAGCCACGCGTGGAATTAGGCGCTCAAACCCATGATGCTTTGCGGCCTGCTTGTCCAACCTCCTCTGTCAGTATCTTTAAATTCAATTTATGTGCAATTTTGACCAAAATTCAACCGACGACTGCTTTCAAAATATATATTTATATTTATTCCGCTCCTAAATAAACTGACGTCACTTTCCAGAATTTGGAAGGTAAATTCTGATTGGTCGACGTAGCGGAATTCAGTTTGGCGCTCGGGTAAGCAGACGGTAGTATTTCGTCGCTTGGCGTAAGAACTACAACGTCTGTGAGCAGGCTAACTAAACGACTGAATTCAAATTAAAACTACAATGAAATTATAAAATTTAACGAAAATAATCACAAATTAGCGAAATATATTGCAAAATGTAGCTTATATTAAATCTCCACTCGATTGACCTATCGGCGAACTGACGGATACTAAAGTATACCTAAGGTTGGCAAGGGGTTTCAACTGATTGAATTACACACAAAAATATATCCGTAGTATTGTAAAAAGCAGAAAGAAACTAGCCCGAAAAATAACATGAACATAAACAAGGATAATTTTACTAACCTGTCTGTAACTTTTTTTGTCAAAGTACAGCTTTAAATGTTGATAAATTTACGAAAGTTTACGGTGTTTTCTCGATATTTTTCTCTGTGACTGTGCGGGATGCTCGCATAGTCACAGAGAAAAATATCGAAAAAACACCGTAAACTTTCGTAAATTTATCAACATTTAAAGCTGTACTTTGACAAAAAAAAGTTACAGACAGGTTACTAAAATTATCCTTGTTTATGTTTATATTGTTTTTAGGGCTAGTTTCTTTCTGCTTTTTAAAATACTACGGATATATTTTTGTGTGTAGTTCAATAAGGTTGAAACCCCTTGCCAACCTTAGGTATACTTTAGTATACGTCAGTTCGCCGATAGGTCAATCGAGTGGAGATTTAATATAAGCTACATTTTGCAATATATTTCGCTAATTTGTGATTATTTTCGTTAAATTTTATGATTTCATTGTAGGTTTAATTTAAATTCAGTCGTTTAGTGGGCTGCCTATGAATGGACCTCCAAATTCAATTTAGAACTGATAGAGCTATGCAGTATCAGAACTATAAAGTTAGTTTAGTTTTCATTAATTTTCTACTAGTACTAACTGTTGTAATACTGGACCACTATCGGTGAGAAAAGCAGTTTAGCACTGAAAGAACTAGCTACCCATTATCAACATCGATATTAAACTTGAAACTTTCAGTAAACTTGAAATTTTAAGTTAGTTTGGGTTTCCTCACGTTCACTAATATACACTATGTTTGTTGCTCGAGCAGAATCGTAAAAGGTTGAGTTTCAAGTCGCAGAATCGTAAGCAGTGGCTTATTTTATGGGCGACCTGCCTCGTACCCAGGCGCTATGTGTTGTTCTATGGCTGCGTGGCCTTTGCGTGGGCCGCGTGGATCAATTTGATCGATTTCGTTGTTTCCGTTTTTCTCCCTCGCGTGCCGTCCCACGTGCGCTTAATGACGTAAACAAACCAAAGCACCTGGTACGAGGCAGATGGTCGACCGCTCCTTCCCCCTCTATGGTGGCCAAGAATTGCCATAACAATTTACAAAAATTAAAAATGAATTAATGTCATTAATTCGGAAAACAAATTACATTAAAAGTAATTCAATTAAAATATAAAGTAAAACAATTAAAAAATAAATAAAATTTATTTCAAATCAAAAGTAAATTAATTTCAAAATAAAATAAAATTAAAAAAAAATTCGATGGCCTAAAACTGCCATAGACCACAACTCTTTGCGAGCTTTAAAACCTTCCCTCCCTTAAAAATGGCGGGCTATGCAGGCTATATCCACAATCCAAGATGGCAGCATTAAGCCAGAGGTTAAGAAATAACAACTGGCAAGAAGACGTATCACTCAAAGAAGCATTGAATGAGTTTGTAAGACAAGAACTTCGCCGTAATGATATACTAAATTACATGGCTAGAGATTTCCCAGACTACGCTTGGAATGTCAGAACACTGGACAGAAGATTAAGGTATTTTGAAATCTACTACACAGACATTGATGTGACAGTTGAGCAAGTTGAACAGGTCGTACGGGAAGAAATTGAAGAATTGGAAGGTCCTGGAAAGATGCTTGGATATCGAGCCATGCAAAAAAAATTAGGCAAGTTCATGACTTACGAGTACCTCGAGACTTAGTTCATGCCGTCATGTATGATATGATTGATAACGATCCTGAAGGACTCGAGGAAAGAACTCCTGGTCTGAAGAAGAGAAAAAGGGCAGGTCACTTCACAACCCGTCGACCAAACCGGGTGCATTCGCTGGACGGGCATGACAAGTTAATGGGATATCAAAATAATACCTTTCCCATAGCTGTTTATGGTTGCATTGATACTTGCAGTAGAAAAGTTCTCTGGGCAAAAGTTTGGACAAGCAACGGCAATCCAAAGTTGATTGCACGATTTTACCTGGAACACCTGTACCAAACCAAAACCATTGCAAGCATGATAAGAGTTGACAAGGGAACAGAAACAGTAGATATGGTAACTATGCATGCTTACCTACGTCAACATCACCAGGATATGGATCCCAATGAAACGTCATATATGGTCCTTCAACAGCAAATCAGGTATAGTACATACCAGGGTGCATATAGGTCACACAGAATATTTTTGGCATGAGTTTGCCAAATTACAGTACTATCTGTAGTTAATATTGGCATATCTTAGGTGCAGAATTTGCATGCACTGCACTATGGAGTACATATTACAGACAGATATTGCACAGCAGTTTGATGATTCAGTCTTTTCCATGTTTAATACCTGGTTGCCCCACAGGACACAACTCAAATGATTTAAGTTGCTCAACAGAAATTTTACCTGTCCTGGGACATTGCTCTTCATTTTTATGAACTTCTATAATTCAACCAAGAATAAATTCCACCTGTCTGCTGGCTCTGCTCTCCACATTTTGGAATGGATAACTGCATGCCCTTCAGTGAATCAGATTTTTATACATGGTTTTGGCGGGGTTTTTGCTGGGCGATTTGCAGTAGAATCCCGACTTCAATATTAACTAGAGATGCGTATTTCCAAGGGACGAATTTAGGCAATTCGGTCACTGATCTGTGAATTTGATTGAATAATTAGCGTGACAACAGACGCCATTTTAGCACGCTGTATGGGCAGCCCGTAACACCTGCAGAAAATAGGGTCGCACGGTCAATCGTGTTGAAAAAATAATAGGGGAAAAAAATAAAAATAATAGGCGGAAAAAAATAGGGTCGGTCGGGAAATGGATTGTACCACATCTTTAACCCAATAAAACCCAGTACAGATGAGCAAGTTTTCCTTGAAAAGTTTTATTTACTTGTGTGTGCAGCAAAAAAGGACATTTTTCCTTGCTAATGAGCCTTGTGCTAAAGTCAGTTATGTCCATGTCAACTTTTGGGAGATAAATGTTTCATAACATTCCACACAGACAAGAAACAAAACTTATCACAGGAAGCGTGCCTAGGAAAACATCTTTATCATACACAAAAAGGTAAACTTGTTGATAGACAATAACATAAAAACTGGTATTAATTATCAATATCACTGATTTATCGTCTTATTGTAACAACGTAATTACTATAATCTTGCCATATTATTACTATAAATGTAATTACTAAAACCTTGCCATACTTTTGGGCATGTTTAAATTATCCTTATGAACTTTAAGCAACAAAACATTGACATAAATGATGTTTATTATACTCGAATTATAATATCAAGTCATCTAAAGTGTTTGGAACATGTACCGTACATCATGACTATCATCTCTTACTTGTTAATGTGAGGGGTATAGACGTTTAGGGTTTTTAAAGTACTACCCCTCCCCCCCGTTTACTTTAGTTTAGCTTAGTTCCGTTGTGTCACATGACCGGAAGTGAAGAGAGCAGCATGCTCAAAGTTGAAAACGATAGCCTTTGGGAGAATATTTAGTTTTATATTTTAAAGCGATATTATGTGAATAAAACAAGTTTAATTTAACGTTCTGTCTTTCTTGACCGGTGTTACTATTCGATAGGAACACGGGTTACATTTTGGCGATCCTGCCACGACCCACAAAGGGATTTTAACGTTGAAAATACTGTGCAAAGATGTGGATATATTTCGTCAAGGCGTGAGTACGGGTTTATATCCTGTCGTTTTAGTCGTAAAAATACGGTTTTGAAGGCTTGTTAAATGCGGATTTTCTGTTGAATGGGACGGTGTTGGTAATGGGAAGTAAACAATATTTTTCGATTAGAAACTCCAGATGACACAAGTGAGCAAACGCAGGAAAATGAGGACGGAGTACAAACGAGTAAAACTGATTCGGAAACTGTCTCAAACCCCTCAAAAGAGCTGGTTGATAAATTAAATGTTGATTTGGTAAAAGCACTAAAGCGTGATTTTAAGATCGTCGGAGTAATTGGTGGGGACAAACAATGGGACAGCTTGTCTTTTGTCAGTCTGTCCAGACAGATTGAAACTGGAATTAAATCAGGCTATAAGGAGTCGGTGATTGTCGCAGCAGTTATTAGAGCTGTGAGTCCAAATTTGTAGCTTCGCTCGTATCTCGAGATGATAAACGATATGTCGTTACTTCGTTTAAAGCAAATCTTACGGGCCCACTTTAAAGAAAAATCTGGAACAGAAATGTATCAAGAATTAACTTCACTATGTCAAGGCCCAAAGGAGTCGGCACAGGACTTCTTAATAAGAGCTATGAACCTTCGTCAGCAAGTAATATTTGCATCTCAAGCGGACGATAGTGTTGTCAAGTATGAAAAATCACTGGTACAATCTCTATTCTTGCATGTTGTTGAGACAGGGATGCAGCAAGAATCAATACGGGCTAAGTTACGTCCTTTCTTGGAAAAACCTGGAGTTATTGACGAGGAATTAATGGAAAGAGTTAATGTTGCTGTGTCGGCAGAAACGGAGCAACAAAACAAGATGGCTGGAGTCAATAAAGGTGCTCAAGTTAATCAAGTGGTGACTAACCAGGAACCTGGTAATTGGGCAAGTCAAAACGACAGTGAAGACCCTGCCATTAAGAAAAAAAGCACAAAGTCGAAGACGAATTTGACAGCCGAAGATAAAGCAAGTTGACTGCAACTCTGGAATCGGTACAAACTGATTTGGCATCGTTAAAGAAGCAACAAAGTTAAGGGGGAGCTGATAATGGACCATCGCACAGTCGACAAAAGCAAAGGAAAGTTCAATGTGATTCATGTAAACAGTCTGGTGAACAGGTATGTGGCCATTGCTTTAAGTGTGGATCAAGTGAACATTTTGCAAGAGGGTGTAAGAAGAACCAGGGAAACGGGAAACGGCTACGCCCAAGGGACGGGGAGTAGCCCGTGAAACTGATTTGTCCCATTCTTGTACATTTTGCAAAGTGAGTGAAACAGACACTCCATTTAAACAGTATAGTAGGTCTAAATTTTTCAGATACTGTTCCCAAGCCTGCCAACGTAAACATTGGAATGAACATAAAACATTATGTAATGAACTATCAGACCTTCATGAACAAAGGTTAAGAGAAAACTTTGTTGACGATGGTGTCTATGCATGTCATTTATCCCCTAGAGAAAATGCAGTCATTACACGGTTGGTGGGGAGGAAATATACTTTATATAATAACTACAGTGAAACACGCAATTTGATTGGTCAACAGCCGTGCAGGATCAGACAATCCTGCACGGGAAATTCTGAACAGAAATTCTTGCACATAATTTTACAAATATACTCGCATTGTAAAGTTTCATTGTACGATACCTTTCGACTTTGAAGTAAGTTTCCAATTATTTAGACGTTGGTTTAGTTGTATGAATAAATTTCTGATCGATACATTGCTATTCAGTAAGTAGCAACGCGTATAAAGCGTTGAAATTCATCAAACCATGGCATGCAAGTACAACATCTCTCGCTTCAAAGTTGATCAAACGCTTCGCAATCTTCACATATTCAGGTCGAGAATCTTCAAAACTACTTTGGCTCTCTGTTTAGCGGGTTTTCCATTTCAAATTTCGTATATTTTATCGAAAAAGTCGCTGTATTTTAGCTGTATATTTTCGCAAATTTGCGATCAAATTCTGTTCACATATGTTGTTGTTTTCAATACCGTTGAGTAGCGATTCTCTGATTGGTTAATTCACGAATGTTGTGAGAACTGCACATTTAATCAGTAATTTTAATCAAGTTAAGCGTCGTTTCACTGTAGCAATTTTATAAAACAATTACAAATGGTTTCCCGTACAGGATAGCATGATCCATGCACTTGGGATGTTGTTCGACTTTCGGAAAGCGTAAAAATACACTCGCCTACGGCTCGTGATTTTTACGCTTTTCGAGAGTCC